TTATACAGTTTTATTTTACTTTACTTTATTTCTTTTTTTTTTAATTACGCACTTAACTTAAAATTTCCTTGTTTGTTTCCCTATTCTTATAAGTGTAACAGATACTAAAATAATAATAATAATATTTTTTTTTTTTTGATAAGGAACTAAGGTTTTTAGGACTTTCACCCTTTATGTAACACTTACACGTGTACTTGAGTCGGTAAACTTTCCTATCTGTGCGCGTGTAATGGAAAATTTCGTTCGATCTAACGTAGCTGTTCTTTGTATCATCAATTATTTATGTAAATATTATGAAAAGTGTTATTGGTACGGTATCGCTGATAAAAATTAGATGTAATTAACTTAATTGTTTAGGCAATCAAGCAAATTTTTATATTTATTCATTGGCTAAACAGAGATGAAAAATAACATAGCGTGCCGAAGCTCGTGATGAAAAGGTTAATGACTTGACTTAGCCATTAATTGTCCAACCAAACTTAGTGCTAACTCCGATTATCCGTTAGATAATCTTTTAACTTACGTAACCACTTACCAATCACCTTCCAATCGCGACAGAACTAGTGACCAATCAAAAGCTTTCTTACTTCTTATGTAATACTTTATGATAGAGTTGTGTTCAGCGGTTGTTTGTGAAATATTGTTGATCAGAACTGGCTATTGTAAGTATTTATAAACTCTTTTTTTATTTATAAATAATATAAAAATATTTTAATGTATATAAATATCTTATAAATTATTTTCGTGTTTACTGTGACCATTCTAAACGTCACTTAGGATTTTGATAAGATTTAGTAAATTTGTCACAATTATGAATTCTCATAAATATATTTTTCCTCCAATTAAAGATGGATTTTCCTCAATTCTAGAAACTATATATAATCAAGGTCATCTAATATTCGTCTACTTATGATACAATAGCATCAACAACAGGTGCTTGTGACTCTTATTGATGTTGTAAGAGTTATATGTGACATTCCTAAAGGTTTCTTTGCCTCCTATTTTTCTTTTAAGAATATCTGTGATGCAATATAACGTCTGCGTAGTTAGAGTGCAAACCCTTTTAGAATAAAAATTGTAAACAGGATAAGTAATTTTAGAGTTGAGTTATAGAATCGTTTAACCGAAATCATTTCATTTATGTCATTAAATATATCAAATAATTACATTTAAGTCGAATTAAATAATATAAAAATAAAAAAGAACATGAACAGAATGATGTTTATCTATTCCTAGAGTTCAATGACAGATAAAATACTATATATGATGCATTCATACACATGTACAATTAACAAACGTTCTTTCTATTCAATATCACAGCAAGTATTCGATGAATGATATTCTTTGAATATACGTAGTTTCAATTTTCTTTCAATAAAAAAAAGCATGATATATTCAATCTTTAATGATTATATTAATGATTTTCGAGCGCAAGAATTAATTAGAAGAAGCAAACTAGAAGCTGAAACAAAGACATTTTTCGCTTCGTGCCAAACTAAAACAACGAAAGTGACGTCAACAACTTGCACAACTCGTAGTAACTACTTCGGGTATTACTTTTCACGACTTCTTATTATAACGTATGACTTAATTTATGATAATTAAAAGAATTTCCAGAAAATTCACGTAATTTATATATACATATTTTTAGATAGTGGGAAATTTATTTGCGGAATCTTTCCGTAATTTATCCATGAAAATTTTAAGCACTCATTTTTCGTACCGCAAAAGCGTTGACTGGAAACACTTTAACCAAACGTTGTTTTGAAAGAAAAAAAAAAGTAATTTCTTAGTAATAATTTGATTTAATCCGTTATATAATTATCGTATTCTAAAATTTGCATTAAATTTAACCACAGAAAGATAAGCAAGAATATTTAAACCACGCTAGTTTGAGTGGTAAGAAAGTTTTAAATATTTACAGAAGAGCTTAAATTTATTACATTTAAGATTATTTTTTTTAGCAAAGATTTTGTTCAGTATATATACTAATATTGCAAGTTATAATGCTAGATAAAAATGCAATTTGAGAATAATTTCGCATTCTAAAAGGGAAACATCCTTGCTCCCGTTTACCAACGTCCTCAACCTATTCCTAAAATGGTTATCTGTGAACTTGGCCCTATTACACTGTTATTTCGTTTATCGTAACGTCCAGAGCAAACTTTTATGAATCTTTTTGGATGAATTTGGGTCAAGCAGAAACAGAACTAGTGATAAACAAGACGATAGTTCATTAGCAGTAAGTAGATGGCATGGTGCCAACTTAGATGAAAACAGCTTAGTTACATAATCCTACACAGGCTATAGTTATCGTCTAGACATAAAACTTTTTATTGTTTTATTATATATTTATACATGTTATACTATATATTATCATTATTAAATAAACATACATAAAAATGTATACATATTTTATAACAAGTCTTCTTACTACATAGAGAAATTTATTTATATATTTATAACTTAAAATGAATTAGTTATATTTAACTTAAATATTAATATAAAAATTGTACAGGAAATTTTTATGTGTAAATCAATTTTTAAAATAGTAATAAACCGATTAATTTTATTATTATTAACTTTTTCTTCTTTTGTAATTCATGGAAAGTGTTTCGTATTAAACAAGTAAAAAAAAAATAAATAATTATNCTCATTGGCTCTAGCGATGAAGTCATTTTCTCTGCACAAAACAAATCTTTTGTCCTTGTCCGATACTAAGAGCCTCAGATCGTTCTTGGCAAGGAATTTCGTTACTGCTTGTTGGTTTTTGCGACTATTTGGTGCATCGGAGATGTGCTTTGTTGTAGCAAGCTTTGTGATGACTTCTAACTCCATTTGCTGGTACATGGGTGCAGTCTGGCAGGCTTTTAAAGCTGCTAAGGTGGCTGGGACTAACTGGTCGAAATCCGATCTCATAGTATGTGAGATGTACTTGGGACCCCGTTCCAGTGTGTTATGTACGATTATAGGTACTTTCTCTTTTGTATAATTGTAATGTGGAGTGGTTACTACTGCCGTTTTTTGTGTACGTGTCGAATTGAGTAGCCACTGGAGCTTTTTGTCCAACTTCTTTTTAATTTTCTGCGTGGAGATTGATGTTATACTTCGCACTTTGCCCAGTTGAATGTACGACGTGGAGGGGTCACATACTTTGGAAAAGTACAGATGAGCTACATAGGTTTTTTGCTCTGCTTCTGCAAGGCACTTGCATTTGTTTCTAATTAGCTTGGTCAAAAGGGACTGCTCTACCTTCGGAAGTATCCCTCGTAAGCACTCCGGAAATTTCTTGTGCTTAAGCTGTATGCACTTTGGAACTACTCATTTTGCTCTACATTTCAAAAGAAATTATAATTGGGCAAGTAATTTTTGCCACAGTTTTTGTAGCTTCAGTAACATGAAAAAAGAGTTTTTCACAGTTTCCATTATGTATAGAAATAGATAAATAGATAATTTTAGATAAATAGATAAATAAAATAAAATAGATAAATAGATAGATAATTTTCAAATTTGTTCTTTTTTCGCCTGAGGACGATGATATAATACTCGTCAAAAGTACTTGCGATATAAGAAAAATCGTATTAACGCTGAACTCAGTGCTTTTTATCAAGAAGCTATAGTGATCACTTCTTTCCTTCCAGCTCTGCTGTAATTCTATTGTGATATGACAAAGTTGCATGATGTCCTAGTTACTTTTATACTTAATTGTATTTTATTATATAATTTATAGCTCCTTGTCCACCTGGATTTGAATGGCAGGAATGTAAAATTCATTGTGATTTTACATGTTCAAATTTTAAAAATGATTTAATATCACAAGGTTATTGCATAGGAGAAAACAAATGCATTTCTGGATGTACAGACATGACATGTTTATCTCCCAAAGTCTATCGTGATTATCGTACTTGTGTTTCTCTTGATGAATGTCCTTGCTTGAGTGGAAATGGAACATTAATATCAGTAAGTGTAAATAATATTGTAATTATCAATTTATACACTTCATTTAGATATCAAATTGTAAAGTGTAAAATATAAATATTATTAAAATTTCTATAAAAAGTCTCTCAACTAATCAATCCATTATAACAGATAACAGTTTTAATTACGCTTTTCGTCTATTATTAAATTTACCGATTAACTCCGTCACTAACGCCCCTTCCGAAAAGCAAAATTAATTTCCTTTGGTAAAGTTTCATTGGTCGCTAGTTTTTAATTGTTAGCAAATTCATCATGTATCAAATTACACCTAAAAATATCTCACCTGAATGATAATTCAAATTTCATCAAGAGTAATACACTTCTTTAATGAGTGTCATTTGTGTAGTAGGTGGGAAAGTGTTATCGATATCGACTAAATGGCGTGGGTTAACTCTTTAAATATCCATTTTTATCCGATTTAAATTTCGTACATTTTTTTTTTTAAGTGTAACGATCATTGTTTATATCTTTAAAAATTAATAAAAATTAAGCTAATGCATTGTTTATACCATCGGGGCATTAACACATATGAAGGGCCGAAGTACTAATTAATTTGGGCCTCTTGAAATATTTGTTCTTTTCTGTTTGGTAGCTCTAAGTTGCTAGGCCAGAGCTTACTTTACTTATAGAGTAACTCCTCCACTAGGAGATGAATAAGGAGTAAAAAAGGAACAATGAAAAAAGAAAGCAATTCAAATTTTTAAATCTCGACAGCGTGCTGAGTACCTCACGTGCCGAACTAAGGAAATTGCGTAATAAAACGACGGTGGCGCTTATGGCGGCGATGAGTCAAAACTCTGCGGTAGTCCAGTGGCATCGTAGAGGCGCATACGCCTACGTTGTAATGAAGGCGAATGGTTGAAAGTAGGTCGGCGATTACGGTTCGTCTCTTGTCGACTTTCCTTAGATACATTCGATAGAGTTGTGTCATTCGGTTCTTTCTTTGACTAAAAATCGTATGTGGCAAGATAAAAGGTAACTTTACTTTCCATTTTTAAACTGTTGGATTTTTGTAAATAAGATTTTAAGCATTGTCCTGTAACGTGACGGACGGGAGGGTTTTCGCTTTCTTTTTCAAATTTATCATACTTACCGTGCTTGGTTTAAGTTAGCGAAAGTGAAGTTTTTTAAGTGATTGTCTATAAATAACTCGTTGGAGTTTGTAGAAGAGGTTTATGTTTTTATCAACTTATATATACGTAGGCATACTTGTAATTAAATTTAAAAATATGTAATTCTTTTCGGTGAGATGTTTATTTATAAATTATATAATGAGATTATTTTAAATGTGTAACATTTTATTTGTATTTGGTGATGTAATGACGCATTTGCTACACGTGTCGAACTTCTGATGACATCACACAGGTAAGCGTGCGTAATGATAGCGTGGAAAAATTGCATGCGAGATGTATATACGTGTATGAAATTATTAGAAAAAAACAGTAATTAGTATGTAGATAATTTCAAAATTTTCCTCTATTTTCTAAATTATTACGGGTAAATTTTATCGACCGCAATCGGGAAAAACCTAGGTTGACTTCGGAAAGAAGCTATTTTTAAACGCAGTCATTTGGTCAACCCGATCTGGCCACCCCGAGCTGTGTAATTCGTATAGTCCGCATATAACGCGGTCAATGCCTTTATCGGTATAATTCTTAAACAGGCACTGGAGGAGGGGCTGCTGTGCTAATTGCCTTGGCCTCTTTTACCATTCCCTGACCTGGTTCCGGCCCCTTCGCTCTCCCCGGCGTAATTTGGGACACCCCTTTCACTGTAAGAGTGTCTAGCTCTGAATGCCCGGATATGGCTGTCTCCACCTTATCGAGAGATATGGTCAAAGCCGCAGCATAGTCGTGTTCTTTAGTGGCTTTTATACACGTGGACTGCAGGATTTCGATCGAATTTTGTTGCCGATTTGCTGTAACGTCGTGTGTGTATGTGTGTGCGCGAGTGTGTAGGACAAACACGTGCCGTCGCTTGACCTTGACTCGACGTTCTCTTGCTCGTGTAGTGAAGAGAACGGATGTTGTCTGACAGTATATTGTAGGGTTTGTCCCGTTATTCACAGGTGCATCCATGGCACTCATAGACAAGTTGATGTCGCGGTAATGTATTTGAACAGTTTATAATTATTTTAAATCATTATGATTAAATGCTTTACGTATATTTCTAATATACAATTTTAAAATACGTTCGTTAATTAATTTTTTGTTTTTTTAAAGAGAAACGAATTTTAATTTTTTTCTTATTATTCCTTATAAAGAATTTTACGAAAATTAAAACTGAAATAAATGATGCAATATAAATTTGGAGATAGTTAACGTAATAGAATGTAATATTGTTTAATGTATTTACATACAAACTAAATGGATTAACGTTATTGCGTACGTTATATTGGATTAACAATCTTTATTTGCCTTTTCTATTTATAAATACAGTTACTCTCTTCTGTTGGTAGTAAAATGAACATAAATTAAATTATAAGAGCATAATTTATTACAGTAAAAGTATATAATTCCTGAATTGGAGTTTTCTTTGCATAGTTATTCGGCAAGTAGGAGAAACGTACTGCAAACTAAACTTTTGGAGTTGGTTTTGCGACAATTTAATATCCTGTTTACTTAATTTTAATTTATCCGAAGGTAAATTCTTTTCTTGGTTATTTTAATTAAAACTACTAATTGTTCTTTTTATATTTTTTCATCATATTTATATTACGTTTATTATTAGTATTATTATTTATTATTGTGATGCATCAGAATAAGGTTCTAAATTGGGAATAAATATTTTTCTAAAAATAGTTGGCCGATGATGTAATATCCGGCACCATCCCATCAGACGAGCTGCGTCTGTTAGGTAGAAAGAGAGATCGTTCACTCTTGTCGATGGCCGTTCGTTTCTCGAACTTGGTGACTCACAGTTTCGCAACAACTTTATAAGACCTTTCATGTTTTATATTCATGCATTTTTATTGCCGTTTTCGTTAATGTAGCTCTTCCAAAGATTATATGCCAGTGTTAAGCAATTGCATTTCAAAATACCAAAACAATTGTATTAGGTATGAAGTAACTAAATTTTCGGAGACCTTGAAGAAGTTTATTACGCGAAAACTATTTTTTAATACGCTTTTTTTAAATTAAAGATGATTGTTATGTGTCAAGGTATATTTGTAAAGTACGAGTGTGTAACTTTCGTAATTGCATCTGCACATAGCTTTCGTTATAGATGCAATATTGGCGATAATTGAGACCTTGTTGCAATTTTCACTAGGATACGTTGCGTCACATGTTATTGTACATTCCGTTCTAACTGTAAACATGTGAGATTCGATTGAAATATAATATTAGTATATTTAGCAATGTATACGATACCATTTTTCAAATTCTAAATATTCATATTTTATTTGTAGGTTAAACTACTCTCCAGATGCGAACATCATGATGGTCACTGAAAACGAACCTCAAGCCAAAAAGTGTCGTCTTCGTGCTGAATACGATTTAGAGCTCAGCATGCCACCTCAATCAATTAGTCCAGGAGCAATATCTCCTAATCTAGTAGCATCTAATTGGCCCGGAGCTAAGTCTTCGATGAGTCAAATGAACGTCGATTTTTCAAATCGTTTAAATTCTAAAGACTTATTTCCATCAAGGAAACAAAGAGAATTTATACCAGAGGCAAAGAAGGATGAAAGTTATTGGGATAGACGAAGAAGAAATAACGAAGCTGCCAAGAGATCAAGAGAGAAACGCAGGATGAACGATATGGTTCTAGAAACCCGAGTATTGGAATTGAGTAAAGAAAACGCTCTCTTGAGAGCAGAATTGGCCACTTTAAAAGATAAGTTTGGGTTAAACGATAGAACTGTAATCGTTTCAAATCACCAAATACCAATTTCTCTTACTCCGGAATTTCGTAGTAGGCGGTCAAAACTCTTGACAACATTAATGCCGAACGTTGTTGGTTCTCCGACATCGGGACCTCCGGCTCTTTTGGATCCAGAAGGCATACCAGTTTTACAAGTCAGTACTCCAATGCATCACCAGCAACAGCAACAACACCACCACCACCACCATCACCACCAGCAGCAGCAGCAGCAGCAACAACAACAACAACAACAACAACAACAAATTCACCAAGAAGCAACAGATAAGGATTCTCAGAATAATCGCCGAAGTCCGTCAACGGTGACCACACAAGGTCGTGGTGAGTCTCATTCAGATCAAGAATCGGGAGGATCCTCTGGTTCGTGGTCTTCGACGGACGATAGTGGCTACCATGGCAAATCACCTTATAGTTCCATCCCACATAAGTTAAGACATAAATCTCATCTGGGTTCCGATAATTCACCCGAACATGGACAAGCAAATAATGAAGTAAGTCCAGAAATTCAAGAGGAGAGAAAGCCAAGTCCTCCAGCATCGGTTCAGCAGCAGTCATATAGTCATCGAGATATACAGGCTGAAAACTTTCAGTTGCGATCTGATTTAGAACGTTTAGCTTCAGAAGTAGCGAGTTTGAAAGATTTGTTAATTCACCAATGCTCAAATATTAGCGATCATGATAGTCGAGTTCAACCAAATGCCTCAACACCATCGTCATCATCCGATGACGGTCAGAACTAATGTTACTTCATAAAGTTAAAAAAACATCTGCATCCTTCGTCCTCGTGGTGTATATAGAGTTTAAACTAAGTTAAATCGCGCTTCCGAAACTTGTTTCCTTTTAATTTCGAAACAATTTTGATCTCAAAAAAATTCCCACATTCATCGCTTAAATTTTCAGAAAATTACCACATTACTTGGTAAATTTTAATCCTCTGAATTTGACAGTGTGAGGCATTTCAATTGAGCATTTAAATGCACTCATTTGCAGTAGCATCTTTTGTCACTAATTACCTGTTGTTCCATTATTCAAATGTTTATACACTTTCCTTTGTACATTAATGTTCATGGAGTGAAATCACCTTCTGAACAATTAAATGAAGTTATCTCCTAAATTATCATAGTTTATCAATTCAAAATCCTGATAAATTGTAGCCACGTTATACATTGTGTCTAGAAAATAAGTTATTCCTGTGAAATCATTGCATAATTGTCTTAATAATAAAATTAAAATCCAACATATCTTCATTTTTCATTCAAGTACAAACTGTACGGAGTTGTCGTTCGGCGACGAAGTTGTTACATTAATCAATGAGGGACCCGAAAAATCATGTCTATTTTGCTCAAAAAAATAAAAATATATATTTACGTTTTTACGTAATAAATATTAATATAAAATAGCAAGAAAAAAACAACAAAAAAATTTGTAAACTCCAAGTCAGCAGTAAAAATATTAAGTTGTAAGTTCCTGTATACTGCATCAAAATACATCAGCTTTATTTATGTCAAACATAAATTTGTAATTAAAAATTATTTGCTTAATTGAATGATTTTTTTGTATATATAGGTTATATTATTCTTGTAGGAACAATGCCCTAAAAGAAGTTTATCGTGTGGCATATTGCCTAATGCCCTCAANTAAATAGCATTAACGATCTTAAATTAACAATTTTAAATATTTAAAAATCAGAAGAAATAAATTTCAAAATATTATTTTAAAAATATCATTTATCCGCTTGCAACTCGATAACCATTATAAAATTTAATTTAAATTTATTGCTCTTAAATTTTTAAAATTAATGATGCTTCGTTCTCTCACTAACCAATTTTAATTAATTATAAAACTGATTCACATTCTTCTTTATCCGCTTAAGGCATTAATTGGTAATTAAATTATACAAATTAAATTTTTTAAATAAAATTTCCAAAATTTTTAATAAATTCGTAAAAATCGATTTAAAGTAATAACATTATTATTATAACTTTAAATAAAAGCAATCCAATAGAAAATATATAGTTAATGGATATGTTTTACAATAACATGTGGCTTCAATGACTCAGTTGTATCATAAAATCACGTGATCAACATATTAAAATTCTATAAAATATATATTATTAGTGTATAAGATATACATTAAAACACATAGATTGAATTTTTAATTAGGAAATATTAAGCATTATTTCTATAATTTATAAATAATAATAATAATAATAAAATGTAGCTTTTAAGTTAAAAATTTTCTAAATACGAAAAAAATAGTGCTTACTCTTTTTTTAAAATTTAATTCTATATTTAAATATAACGCTTAAAAATCCTATTAATTAAAGAAATAATATTTAAATAAATGCGAATATCACGGAGATTAAACATAAATTTATGTTAAAATCTACTTAGAAAACAATGCATATTTATAGTTACGAATCTCATTAAAAAAAAAAAAAAAACATTATAATGATTTTTCAACGATGTTCGGGTGATCAAACTACACGTGAATATGTTTTCACGTGATGTGAGCTGATTACGTCATTTCCTCCCACATGGGTCTTTCTGAACACGTGTTTAGGCTGCACATGCAACATAGTAGAGCAGTGGGTCAAGGTAGGATGTATTCTGGCTAGGACAAACGCGTCAAAATGCTTATTTTTCGCTTCAGACGCATTAGACGTAACGGAATGAGTAACGGTGTAGTTGTGTGACCTCATTCTTATATAGATTCTCTCTAACTGCAAGACCTTGGAGTTTCTAATCACAGTAAAAATTCAGAAATGAAACGATTATATAATTATGCATAAAATTATTTCTTGGAAATTTTATTTTGCTACTTTATTTTTAAGCTTTATTATCCGTTAAATAAATAAAAAACGTATATGCAGGAATATAATATTATTTTACGCTTCCAAATCATTGTTTAAATGAATAAATAAGTCATATTTGCTCTCAATATGACAAAGAAACAATTATTTTGATTTATAAGTTTCGATATTTTAATGGTAAAATAAATAAATTATTTTTGTTTCCATAAAAATTTAGAACAACCTGAAAGCAAAATTTCAGTTTCCTTAACTATATTTTGTCATAAGCAAATATATTTAACAGTTAATTGCATTTAAGTAATACTTTATTTGTATTATACTAAGAGGAAATATTATATTTACTCTTATATGCGTAACAGTAGGGTTATTACAAGTAATTGCAAGTAATTTAATTAAAATTTCGTGAGAAAATTTAGCCTAAATTTTAAGCTTACGAAATTTTTAAACGCATTATTTATTATTTATGTATGATAAAGTGACTGCAAGCTAAACGTAACAGTTACGATATTACAATTTATAATTTGAAAATTGCTTATTTGATTTCCGTATTTTACAATGAAATAATTGTTCTTTATCGTCCATTTAGGATAAAAATAGAAACAGTTTAATCAAAGAGACTATCGTAACGACATTTATAGAATCTAACTGTTCTGTAACTCTGTTAAGATGGGATTTATAGAACAGTAAGAAAACGTAACATTTATGATACCTGCTAAGCCAACTCTGAAATATTTAATTGGAAAGTTTCAAGCAGGAGTAACATGGTGCGATCTATAGCTATTCCATATTTCTACACCATGAAATTTGCAGAACAGAACAATTAAAGAACGTAACATGTTACTCCCGTTTGATTCTTCTCAAGAATATATCCCACAGTCTGCATAGCAAGTGCCAGACAGGAGTAACAGTTACAGAGCATAACTGTGCATCAATTCTGTTACAATATTTACAGAACAGAACAGTTGAAAAACGTAACAAGTGTTATGGTTGATATACGGATTATGAAATATTTGCTTAGCTTATAACTAATAAGAATTTTATTTTTATCGTTAATTACGTTTGCATGCATTATTAATGTTAATATATTGAAGTATATTGGCATCATCGCGGTTGATTCGTTGACTTATGACTATGACAAGATTTTTGAGGGATTGCTATAAACGAGAATAGCGACTAATTGGAAAATAAAAGAGCTTATTAACTTATGAAGCAAGTTCTCAATTTGTAGTTACTGATCTGCATGGCAACAATCAATGAGTTACCATGTGATCTTTAATGAAACCGTTTCTTTATGGATAAGAAACTAGTTTGATAAGGAATTTAAAGTTAAAAATCGTAATTTGAAGTACGTTTAACTTATTTTTGTCATCATTTTGAATAATAAATAATGTTTTCGAAGAATTTCGTAAGCATAAAGTTATGCGAATGAACATCTGTTTAAATTATCTTGCAACACACTTTATAGTTTACTTAATCTGTACATTAATTCCATATTTGTTTAATCCTTAATAACTAAATTATTATATAGACATATATTTGAAATATTCCACATGCTATACAATTTGGACTTTAAACTGGATTTTGTCTTCTTAACAATAACTTTTATTTCCAAAACTGATCCAAAAATCTTTGTAATTCGAAGGAGCGTAAACAAATTGTTATGTTAACGTTCAGAAAAGCTTTATTTAATTATTTTTATATAATTAAATGTAATTTTATACGAATTTTCAATTCATTTTTCAAATTAATAACCCAACGCCCACAGAAAAATTTATTACAGTATATCAATAACTATAAAATTTGATAGTTTAAACTTGATTTGGTTTCTGTTCGTGAGCTCTTTCTTTTTTATATTTTTCTTGAAATAATCTCTTTTAAATATTTCATTTAATGGCCACTTTTTTCGCAAAATTACTTTTTTAAATGAATTCATGTGTACTATTTATTGTTTTAATACTGTAACTCTAAGTTACTATTATGAAGTAGAGCAAAAGTGGAGACTATTTTTAGCGATTTTGAGAACTTACACGCAACGTAAAAAAGTAAGAATACTAACAAAAAAAAGCTCGAATGGAGCTTTAAAAATGGATAATTTATGGTAAGTTTGAAAAACTAAAAAAGAAAATAATCGGATTTTAAATGGGAGAAAGATAAAAATTGATTGATAGAATCACATTCTGTACTGTTCTAAACACCCCTTGCATATTTTATACGTTATCTTTCAAGTAGATAAAAAAGTCAATTAGTCAAAAGTACTGTATATTACTTTGTAGAAAAAAAAGTATATTACTTAAAGATCATTATGCTTATATTTTTAATAATCGTAATATTCATTGAGCATTAATAAATAAATTTCTGTACTATTTATACATAGTTTTCCATATGAAAACAATGTTTTATGATATAAAAATTCACAATTACAATTATGTAAATTTTACTGTCAATATAGTTACTAAAGTTGTATTTTAAATTTTTATAATGAAAAAAATTAATTTTCTAAAATTTCTGTTTTTAGATGCGGGGTACTCATTACATCCTAAGACCATTGATGTTGGCTGGTATTTTTTTTCTTTTTTTAAACTTTTAAAAGTTCGTAAGATTTTATCTTAATGTTTGTTATTTCATAAAAAATTCATACAAAAATCATTTAGGCCTATATGCTTGCAAAAATCATATTTTTAAGATTTCATCCATCTACAGCAACACCTGTTATTTAATCAATACATTATTCACGACTGTTTCAGGAGTTTTTATTCTATGCTGTAAACTCTTGGACTCTATCAAAACAAATTACAGACGTTCAACATTCATCTGAAATAAAACTCGAATTTCATAGATACCTAGTGAATAAAACTTCACTTAAAATACATTCAACACACACCAGTGCGAGTCAGTTTGCTAGTCATAGATCCTTTCTCGTAAAGTACTACGAATACGTTTATTGTTATTCACTTTTGACTCTACACCATAGGATCGCCCATAAATTACGTAATGATATTTTTATATTTTTCCAGTATCATCCTGTAACGCTCCGTAACGCTGTCGCCCATACCCATACGCAAAATTACGTAACGCATAACCTCAATAGACCCCTTAATTGTACTAACGAATAATACATAGTGAGGAGTACTAAATATTTTTAAAATTACATGTATAACGTACAAAGCACCGATATAAACCGTACGGTTCTCTATGCAACACTTCAGAAACAAAAACAAAAATCATTCTATTACCCAAAGGTTAAGACTAGCATTACGTAACGTCTTTGTAAACACCTCTACCCCTTAAAATGCATCGTAACGATTCCAGCATACCCAAATCTGTGTTACATATTTTTTGTACTGTTTCCATGTGGGCGCCTAGAAGGTCTTTTTTTCCATAACCATTTACATCCATACCCATCGTGTAAATTCGGTCTAGCCCATGATGGTGGCAATCAGAAGTGAGAGACATTTGCTGGCCCGGATTCGATCCCGAATCCCCAGAGTGGTATGCTGATGCCTTAACCACCTCGCCCAAAAAATACTTGCAAATAAATATTAAATAGAAAATAATTCAATGTCTATCAATTACTACGTAAAGATATGATTTTGCATTGCAAACGACAATGTTATCATCAACTCAAATGACTCTCAAACTCAAATTTGTATATAGACTTAATTTTTATTAATAAACGACGCCGCTGAATTTTAATATGGTTATAATANTCATTATTAGAAATGTAAGAATATTTTAT